AAAGTGAAAGTGAAAGTGTAAGAAGCATTGGCTCCTGAGACCTTAAAATTAATCACTTTTTGAGAAAATTGTGACTTACAATGGTGTTTGGTATCTTAAAAAATAGAAAACAGCCCCCTCAACACGCATGTAAAGTACTAACTTGAAGCCATTTTTGTTTATATTTTATACCCCTGCAGAGGGTATTATATGTTAATTTCAGTCAGAAGTTTGCAACTCAGTGAAGGACACGTTTCTGACCCTATAATAGTATATATATTCCTGATCAGCATCACTAGTAGAGACGATCTAGCCATGACCGTCCGTCTGTCCGTCCGTCTGTCCGTCCGTCTGTCCGTCCGTATGTCCGTCCGTCTGTCCGTCCGTCTGTCCGTCCGTCTGTCCGTCCGTCTGTCCAGTTTTAAAGATATCTGCATGAAAAAAATGATATCTTTGCTGTTTTTTAATTTTTTGCTTAGTTCTTCGACATTTAGTAATGGTTCCATATTTCAGAAATATGGTTTAAGTTTCATCAAAATCGGACGTCTATAGCATATAGCTCCCATTGGAACAATCGGAAAAATAAATGAAAAAAAATTATAACTTTGTTGTTTAGTTTTTCGACAAATAGCAATGGTTAAATATTTCAGAATTTCAGCAAGTAAATCATAATTTTAATGTTTTAAGGAATATTTAATATTTGCAATAGCTGTACGGGTATATGAACTTCGGCTTGCCGAAGTTTGCGTTCTTTCTTGTTTAAAGATTTCTGAACACATCTATTAAAATATTCCTGACATCTATTAAAATATTCCTTTTACTTAAGATATGATGGAAAATTTAATGCAAATATAAGCAATAACATCTAAGCAGTTTAATTTTAAGTCCCAATGATTTGGAGCAGACACTCTCGAAGAGAAGCCTGCACCTTTTACAAAGTCCTATTTTGTTGTCCTGTGTTATATATTAGAAAAAAAATATTGCTCAGAAATTATGATTATTTTGTGAGTTATATTATTTCGCATAAAAATATCACTCAAAACCCGATTGCAGCAGTTCTTTACAAAATTATTACAAGATTGAAATGTTTAGTTGTTAGTTGAAAGTTAATGTTTATAAACGGTAAACTAGCCTCTAGATATTAAGGCAGTTTTGGAGGTAGTATATAAGTCGGAACTAGCAGGATCGGACGGCAATATCAAACAGCTCCCATAGAAACGATCGCGAAAATTTAGCAAGCTTTGGCAAGCCAAAGTTTATATACCCTCACAGCTTTTGGAGAAAATAAAACATCTTTAAAAGATCTCAATTTCGAATTAAAAGAGTAAACTAGTCTTTCAGTTTTAAAGCTATTTAAACGAAACTTTCCCAAAAGTTGTCTTTCTAGGGTCAGAGATGTCTCCTGACTGAAATTATTATACCCTCTGCAAGGGTATAAAAATGAAACAAAAAGTTTTTTTTACACATATGAATGGTTTAATAATTTGGAATTACGCTTTGCATTTTATTGAAATCGGAAACCGATATCATATAGCTGCCATTAAAGTGGGTACTCATTCTAAATTTATATGTGTAAATTTGGCAATAGCTGCACTGCTATATAAATATCGGCTTGTCGAATTTCTTGCTTTTAACATTCTTGGTATTAAAATCAAATGTGGAATGATTGAAGTCCTACAGATAGCGTAGCACTCAGATCGACGAAAACCGTTCGCCGCCTATGAAAAAATTCTGGCGTCGTTTATATTCAACATCTTCGATTTTGCTTTCTCAAAGTAGTTTGTTTGTCAACAAGCCCAGCTGATTGACAATATGACCGAGTACACGAACTCGGGTGAACTCTGAAAAGTCTTACTAGAAAGAATAAAGTTTTGTCGCTGAGGAAACTGTTCGTCGATCTGAGTACTATGCTTATTGGAGGCACTGCGAAGCGTCTTTTATAAGCCCTTAAGTTCAACATGCTTGCTGTGCAATTAATTAAGTTTGTCACTCTAAAAATAAACTATATTTTCACGAAAAATGTTCCTACGAATGTGAAAGCATATTTGTACCACATTTCTCCGAGGGCTACAGCGTGCGACACTGTCAGTTTAAGCCTACAAAGGAACGATACAGAATTTCGGAGCAGTCAGTCTTGATTTTCTCTGCCACTATCATTCATCGGCGCCTTAATATTTATTGCCGTGCTTGTGCATAATGAATAAAAGTGCGGTAAGCTCCATATTATCTTTCTTTTCTGTTACCTCCCAACCTGCAACTGAAAAGGTCATTCATGTTCGGTTATGCCTGGTGGTGACATTCCCACTTTTTGTCGTTTGTTCTATTATAATCTTTTTTTGATTACTACCTTGCACTGAGAGTCCCCCTCGAGAAGCCCTGCTATTAGCTCAAATATTTTAGATGTAGTGCCATAATTTACTTTTAACTATGTAAATCTGGCTTGACTGAAAGGAAGCAAACTTCGGCAAGCCGAAGATTATATGCTCTTGCAGATATTGCAAAAATTAAATATTCTTTAAAACATGGCATTTCTTATTGTTTTCCGTTTTTAATAAAATTCAAAGCGTAATTCTGAATTATTAAACCATTCCTAGTTCAAAAATTAAAAATTTGAGAAGTTACAATTTATTTTGTTATATTCCGATTGCTTCTTTGGGAGCTATATCATACAGTTGTCCGATTTTTATCAAATTTAAACCGTTATTCCAAAATAAGAAACCATGACTAAATTCTTCCACATATATATGTTGTATGGCTAGTGCTAAAACCTAAAGAAAAATTGGAAAACAGCTAATTTATATTTTTTTTTCCATTTCTTTCCAGATTGTTCCTATGGCAGCTATATGATATAGTCGTCCGAACCGGCTTGTTCCAACTTATATACTACCAGCAATAGGAAGACAACTTTTGAAAAAGTTTTATGCGGATAGCTTTAAAACTGGGAGTCTAGATTGCGTAGGAAAGGTGTAGTTGAATGACAGAATACAACCATGCCATGCTCCAGAAAGAGACAATATTTATTTAGCACTTTCACTCCAATTCTCCGAAACCAAATGACTTTCTAAAACTCTTAGTATCCACAAACTCTTGTAAAAGAGAGACCTTTTCATTGCTATATCATTAAAGCTGACGAATATTGGGGCTAACACGCTTACTGGTGCTCATCGACACTATATGAACTGCTGTCCATAGTTATATAATTTTAGTGTATTAGCGACACCTTTCGATTAAAATATTACTTGTAATTGTCGGATCATCACAGCTTGAACTTGAACTCACGCCCTTCTTTCCAAAGTTTTGTTTCCGGATGCCTCTTCTAGGTTGAACTACGCTAATAATGCACCAAATACTCTTGCAAAGGATTTTATAATTTCAGTTAAAGTTTGCAACACAGTGAAGGTTACCTCATAGAGTCTGTCTGCATCCACGAAATCAAGTCTCTCAGTTTTAAAGCTTAAATCTTAATAAAACGTTCTGAAAAGTGTTATTTTTATTGCAGGATGTATATAAGTTGGAACGAGCCAGATGGTTCGACTTTGTCATATAGCTCCTATGGGGACAATCGAAAAAAAAATTGTTGGAAGAAATTATAATTTTGCTTTAATCAATTTTAATAAAATATAGTAAATGTTTAATAAATTCCGTAGGCATTTATTGTTTTTATACATAGATAAATAAAAATCGAGATTTAGTCGGCTTAAAGATTATTCATTTTTTGTAGTTATACATATAAACTTCAGCTTGGAGCAGTTTGCTTCTTTTATATAAGTTTTCTGTATTCTTCGGCGTTTTAAAATAACAGGTGACTTAAAAAAAATTTTTTTTTTTGAGTGTATGACCTGATGTGACATAAACCACAACGGCAGAGGTCTCAGCTCGAAACTGGCGCTCAGCGCTCAGAAAGCGCACATTTCGCCGGCAGCTTACTCCTTCTGATTCTCGCAAATGTTGCCCACTTCAGTTTTCATTTTTGCTGTTTTGTCAGTTTCGCGTGTGACAAAACTCGATGCTGAGAAGTGGGTGGTGGGAAAAGTCCTTGGGTCCTCCCGTTGTGTGTCCATTACAACAGCATATCCGCTGGCAGGTAACGAGCGGTGGCAACTGCCACAAGCAATGCCGTGCGGAATGGAGATGAACGAGACTCGGACAGGATGTGCAGGAATATTGTGAAATCAACGTAATTGGGGGCATTAACATGCATGTTCCAAAGGTTACCAGAAACTGGCAAAACCATTTTCGTCGGTAGGATGTCATTTTCATTACGAAATTATACATATTTTATGCAAAAGCAAGAGAGAACGCTATATACACTCAGCCAACAAACTTCAAACTCAGTATTCCATCTACAAAATAATCAAAGTTCAGGTGGCGCCATCTGTCGCACTGCATAGACAACACTAGAAGCTAAGTGCGTTCAGCACCCCCACCCCCGCTTACAGTTTTTTTTTTGTCTCTCTTCTGCAGAGATTACCGACAAGAAGCGGCTGAGCAACGGCCGAGCAGCGGCAAAGCGGTGGCAGAGGACCTAAAAACCCCATAACTTCTAGAACATTAGCTCGTGTGTCTACCGATAGATATGACCGAAACACACACACAGAGTTCAGCACCTAGGATCTAACATATCTATTTTGCGATTTGTGGGCGTTAGAGTGGGCGTGGCTCCGTTTTAAAATAAACTTGCGCTGCTAAGGAAAAACTAGAATCTGCATGCCGAATTCCAAATCTTTAGCTTTCTAGTTTCCGAGAACTCGACGTTCATACAAACGGACAGACAGACGGAAATGGATAGATCGAATCGGCTATTGATCCTGTTCAAGAATATATACACTTTATATGGTCGGAAACGCTTCCTTCTTCCTGTTACATTCTTTTCAACGAATACATTGTACCCTTTTACTCTACGAGTAACGGGTATAAAGACCAGGATTATGTGGGTAAATCGAGTTTTTGTATACATATTGGACAAAAGAGCACTGCCCAGATCTAAATTCTATTATTTACTTCAGTTGAAAAAGACCAAATAAGTGGTTTATAGATATATATTATAATTAAACCCGCAATGTTTTTCCCTTAAATGTTTGGCGTTTTTTTACAGAACCATACTTATTTACTTATCGAATACCAAGGGTCCTCCTTGATCTGCGGAACATTGTACCGGATCTTAACGGGCGCTAGAATGTGCATTATCATGTGCTTGCACTCACTGGATGCTGACGGGGATTTTGGAAACACCAGAGACTGGTTAATGCGTTTGAGCAGGATATGTACATTAGATCCATCATAGGGAAGACGACCAAAGACCATCGCGTAGCAGACGACGCCGCAAGCCCAGATATCCGACATAAACGGATCGTAGGCCACACCTGGATATAATGTGATAGTAATGCATAAAAGGCTTAGGGATGGGAACTTACCCTTCAAAATCTCGGGGCTGGCGTAAGCGTAGCTTCCGCAGAAGGTTTTTGAGAGGATCACTTGGTTATCGGGAGTCCGGGTATCCTTGCGTGCAAACCCAAAGTCGATTAACTTCAGGTTCCAGTTCTCATCCAGCAGCAGGTTTTCGCACTTGATGTCCCGATGCACCACTCCCTTGCTGTGGATGTACTCCACCGCACTCACCAGCTGCTTAAAAAGCGTGCGCGACTGCGGCTCATCCAGGAACTTGCGCTCACGCACGTAGTCCAGTAGCGTTCCATTCTCAGCTAGCTGCATAATCAGGTATACTCTGTTTAAAGGTAAAATTATTGATCGATTTTGAAAATTTTCTACCGATAGATTTGGCCGAACACACACAACCTAATAACTAAGGTCTTGTCCCAGAATGGCTTTCATACAGACGACCAGACCGACGGACATGGCTAGAACGACTCGGCTATTGATCCTGATCAAGAATTCAATTTTTAGTATTTCCGTGTCCAATAGTGCCTAAATCAAGAAGACATTTTCGTAGATCAAGACTGCTTTTTAAAGACTGAACATACTTGATTTCGGAATAAGTCTTTTCGGATTGGAGTGTAAATCATTCTCAAACTCAAAAATGATTTACTCTTGAAAACAACAATGCCCATTGCTTGGACTCAAGAACCTATTCGTTCTCAGAACCAAGAAGACCTATTCTCAAAGATAGAATAATCATCTCCATGGTTCCACTTCTTAACGCTCAATCAATCAAAGACAAAACTTTACCTCGCGCCGCGGTCGTAACATTTTAAAGGGAAACGACGAGGCCGAAGTATACCTCAGTAACTTTCCGAACAAGTTGAGAGGGAACTTCTCTCCCAATTTGTATCTCTTTCTATTTTTAGGTTTTAGACTAATTTCATCTCGAGTCCAAGATCTTTTATTCTTGAGTTCAAGATCTTTTCTTCTCGATTAACGAAATCGAGAACAAAAAGAACGATTTCTGCTCGATTACAAGAACGTTTCTTCTCGATAAAGTGAGGAGTAAAAATAGTGAAATAGAGCACATTTGCTCTTAGTTTTTTCGATCTCATATTTTCTCGTTGTACATACTTTTCAACATATACTATATAGTAAAATATTTATTATTTATTAATTGAGTCGAACTAATGTCCCGTCAATTGACTGAGGACAACGCAAAAATCTTACTTGTGCTGCTCTTTGTTTACATAAGTTTGGGAGCGAGTTCGCCCGCTTGGGATATTGATTATAGATAAGTTTAGGATATTGCTTAAGTACAATAATTTGGGAGTAAAAGTGCTTAGTGATTGCAAGAATTGTTTATGTTATTGAAGAGCGGCATCGCCTGCTCCGGCTTCGTTTGTTTAGCGTGGGATTGCGTACACTGCATTGGTACATAGCTGAATATGTGAATATGTCACTCTACGAGAAACGTGTATACTAAAACCTTCATTCTGAAATATTACACTCATATATACCATTACTAGGTTATCAATATGATGTCTCACCTATGGCTGGTCTCTATGCTCTGATAGAAGGTAATCAAATTTTCGTGGTGTAAGCCCTTCACCGCCTCGATCTCCCGAGGCAGGAACTTCTGCGTGTACTCGGAAGGGGCCTTCACCTTGGATATGATTTTGACGGCAACCCTCTTGCCGTACTCCTCCGAAAAGCCGATTTTGACTTTCGCATAATTGCCTGTGCCAATCACCTTACCAAGAATGATGCCATGCTCTTCAAGGATCGTTTTCTGAGGCTTGGTTTTGTCATCAGGTTTCGCCTGAAGTCCTGGTGGTCCAGTGGGATTCGGCGGAGGACGATCATTGAAGGTGTAGACCTTCTGCTCCTGGCGGCGACCCGAGCTCTGGTCGGTAACGAGGTCCTGCGATGAACTTACGCCAATGACTAGCGGGAAACGGATAGATTTAGGTGGAGTTTTTACGCCTGCGTTGAAGATATTTTTACCTCCGCCTTGGTCGTTTTTCCTTTTTGGCGCTGTCGCCATTAAGAATGGGCCCACGAGTGTGATTTGCCAATGGCGCAAATGCTGTTAGGAACTGCAAAATGTCATGAGAAAACAAAAGAATCATTAAAATTGTATCATATTCAGAAACGAGAAATTTTGAAAAATTAATTTTTTAAAGAATTGACGTTCAATGAAAATAACTATAGATTGCATGGAGTTAAAAAAGCGATTTTATGTATGTAAGCAATATTGGCGAAGGAAATATTTTTTCGGAAAAATATTATGCTTAACTACCTTGAATTCAATAATATTCAAAAATGTAAAACACTTATAGGAAAAGAAAAAAATACTCATGGGATACATTCAGGGGATGAATCCAAATTGATATAAAACCATTTTATTGGTAAAAGAAGAGAGATACAAGCATAATTTTTTGAACCAAATTTATCAAATTTTTCGCGCTTGTTCTTAAGTCAGCTTTAGGATAATATCGTCCGATCAAATTTTGTTTATACGATTAGTGGCGGTTTTTATAAAAGGAATTATACTCTAACCCTTAAAGGTGCACTAAAAACATAGTTTTTCTTAAATGTAGAAAAAATTTTTTTCGCTACATTTATAAAATGGGGATAATATTTTCTGTGCTTTAGAATTTTTATTTTTTAATTTTTTTTTTTTTTTAAATTTGAGGTGTTTTTTATAAGCTTCCTAAATATTTCATTTGTTTTTAAAACACAAAAAAAACTAGTCTCTTCTAAAATTAAGAAAAACGCCTTTAAGTTTAAATAAATTTTTACTTATATAGAAATCTACTTTTCTATAATATAACAATTTTTTCTATTATTTATAATATAAGAATAATAATAATATAATTATAATAAGAAAAAAATTTTCTAATATGTTTAGCCTAAATAAAATTAATATAATATAAAAATACAGATATAAAAATAGGTTTCGTTTATCGTTTGTTCGAACTTCGTTCCTTGATTTAAGAATCAATCAATCGTTTTAATACTCCATGTTGACAGTAAATTTTTTTTAAGACACATAATGTAAGTAAGTAAGTCTTAGACTGTTCTTGTTGTACCACGTGTGAATAACGCCACCCAACTTTCCCACCAGAGGTGCAAACCCAACAGTTGGACTTAATGGTTTAAGGTTAAAGCCAACAAACAATAAAAATATTTAAAAAAAATTTAAATTTTCTATTTTGTAATTTTTTTTAGAAATTCTTTTTGACTAATTAATAATTAGTCAGTTCAGAATTACGCTTTTATTATTATTAACATCGGAAAACGATATCATATAGCTGCCATAGGAAATATGAAATAGTTGAGCTGCAAATCATCATAGCTTCAATGTGTTTAAACATATAAGCAAAAAAAAACATAATTTTAATGTTTCCAAGAATATTTAATTTTTGCAATAGCTTCAATGGTATATGAACGTCGGTTTGTCGAAGTTTGCTTTCTTTCTTGTTTTTCATTTATTTTTCCGATTGTTCCTATGGGAGCTATGGGAGTTGTCCGATCCAGCTCAACCTTTATACTACCTGCTATAGAAAGACAACTTGGGAAAGTTTAATGCAGATAGCTTTAAAACTGAGAGACTAGTTTACGTAGAAGAGGACGGACAGACGGGCATGGCTAGATCGACTCTCCTAGCGATGCTGATCAAGAATATATATTCTTTATAGGGTCAGAAATGTCTCTGCAAGGGTATACAAATTCAGATGTTCTATGAGCGACATATTGCTTGTAGCGTCGGCTAGCTGATGTTTTTTGAATACAGTTCGCCTAACCCAGCGCAAATACATTTGATACTGTTTCATTATACTTAATTCTGCAGTAAGCAACGACGGCGTAGGCTACCTCGCTTGCGCTTACGAAATTATAAAGTTGAAGGTCGAAATCGGGGTTTGTAAAATAATAGTGAAAGCATCTGTGGATTCTTATCAGTGCACAGTGTTCGGGGTTAATTAATTAATTCTTCTAGATGTGCTATTACCTTGAAACTTTCAGCAAAAATCTAGAAAAATATTATTAATAAGTATAAAAAAAATTGGTCAGATTGTATCACTATATCCTATAGCTTTCATAGGAACGATTGCCTCAGTGGTTGCGCTTAGATGAGGGAGCATAAAAAATAAATTTTTTTTATCATATAAGGCTACAATTTTTACTGTTAGTTATTTACATACATAGACACCCTGCCCCTTCCTTCAAAAAGACAACATAACAGAGAAATATTTCAACCAAGAATGGAAATAATATATATATTGTTGATCAGCATCACTAGGAAATTGCAGGCTTTTGGGAAAGTTTCATGCAGATAGCTTTAAGCCTGACAGACTAGTTTGTGTTGAAACGGAGGGACGGAAGGACTTACGGACAGACGGAAGTGGCTAGATCGACTCTCCTAGTGATGCTGTTGAAGAATATATATTCTTTATAGGGTCGGAGGTGTCTCTTTCACTGCTTTGCAAACTATAAAAAAGTTTCATTTGTCATAGCTTTTATTGAGATGTCGCATCTATGTTCTGTATAATCTTTGCTTAGATGCTTTCATGTAAATTTATTATTTCCAAGATGCGACATTCCTGAAAGCAGTTTAGTCGCCCGCTGTTCGGTCGCTGCTTGCCGGTAATCGCTGCAGTAAAAAGAGAAAAAAAGGAAAAAACAGTAAGCGGGGGTGGGGGTGCTGAACGCACTTAGCTTGTAGTGTTGTCTATGCAGTGCGACAGATGGCGCCACCTAAACTTCGATTGATTTGTAGGAGGAATACTGAGTTTCAAGTTTGTTGGCTGAGTAACGGATATCTAATAGTCGAGAAATTCGACTAAAGCGTTCTCTCTTGTTTTTCCTGTAGTCTTTCGGTTGTCGCCGCCGTCATTGTACTGCCTAATGCTACTGACTTAAAATTAAGTACGATAGCAGTGGCGGATCTTGTGGGGGGGGCGAAAGGGGCAAGCGCCCCGGGCGCCAAATCTAAGAGGCGCTAAATCTAGTCCGACTAGCCATACATATATGTTTCGAGAATTCATATTTTCCCGGGGCGCTGCGCATGTAACGCTCCCTATAGAATACAAGTGTAAGTGTTTTATGATGTGATCAAAAGGAAAAGGGACGCTCGAAACGTCATAATAAACTTTCTTGCTTAGAGAGAGAGAGAGAGAGAGAGAGAGAGAGAGAGAGAAAGAGGGAGAGAGAGCGAGCAGTATACGTGTAAGGTTATGAGCGCGTTTGTTTACATATGTACATTCCAATCAAGGCAGTGTTTTTCTATTGCAACATTTAATCGAGGTACTTATGCTTCGATGTCATTTATCAAATATTATTCACTGAACCTTCCTTTTCTTGATGTTCTAAAAATATATATTTTTACTATTTCAAATTAGGCTTGGAAAACACAAAAATGAAACCAATAAAACCAAGTGGTGCCCAGTTCAAAAAAAATCCGGGTAAAAAGACAACACATCGAAAATTTGTCGAAAGAATTTATGTTACATTACGTGAAAAGTCATAACAAGGAAACCTCAGACGCCTCAAATAATCCTTCAGATTCTGGATCAAACCTGGAAAATCCAACACAGCTTGTTATAGGCAAGTGTACAAGCGATATTGAAAATAATATCAAAGAATATCTTGATGACGATAAAGAAGTTTTGAAAAGAAAACTATTGGAAGTTAACGATAAAAGCAAATCATTAGCAGAAATTTGTTCTAATGATTTAAATGGTACGGAATTGTTTCACGATATCAAAGATGTCTAATAAAAAGGGAGAAAGTCTTGGTCTCACTCCAAAAGGAATACTATTGTATGTTTCATCGTTGGGGTTAGAGCGTACAAAACACTTGTGACGGCACTGACAATTTTACTGACCTCTACCATTGTCCGTGGCTTCGTGTGAGCGATCATTCAGTAAACTGAAATTGATCCAATCTTATCTCCGCACAATCATGAACTAAGACAGGCTGTCAAATTTAGCTATACTATCTATCGAAAATGAAGTAGCAGCATCACTCGACTACAATGATATTATTACTGAATTTGCGGCAATCAAGACCAGAAAAGTTATATTCTAAAAGTAATTTTTTTTGTCTTGCAAAAACACAAATAATAATGTTTTTTCCGTTGTAACTGACAAAAGAACCGATATGAAATACAATTCTTCAAACATATAAGCTATAATAATAAATAACCTATTTACACTTAAAATACTCCTAATGTTATTGGTACAGCAAATAGGGAGGGGCCTGAATTTTTCGCTTTGCCCAAGGCGCCAGCAACCCTAGATCCGCCACTGTACGATAGTACTTGATTTTTGATATTCTTGTTTTGAGTTTTTTTCCTATTCTGCTTAAATTAAGAAAAAATAATTCCTTAACTCCAATAATCCTTAATAATACTTAATTCAAGTATAAAATTCTTAAAACAAGTAGAGGGTTCTTATTTTTAGTATGATTTCGATTTATATTATAAAGAACGAATTCCAAGAGAATATTCCTCATAATAAGTAGAAAATGTTCTTATATTAATCTATCGCAGTTCATGCTTTCAGAAAATCAAGTATAGGAAATTCTTAAATTAAGGAAGGTATGTACTCAAATGTAGTGAACAAATTTAAGAAAAAACATTTCTTTAATCCAGCTAAAATCTTTCTAAGATCGGTCATTTTTTTCTCTCATTATTTTTAACAGGATAGAGCAAAATTCTTAAAACAAATTTATAGCGTCATTCATATTTGTTTGTACTTACAAGTTTGTGCGTACAATATACGACATGCATTTTTTACGACATAACGGATTCTTGAAAGCAACGCTTTCCCGAAATAAGCCGAAATAACTGTTGTCAAACAATACACACATAAATATATGTGTGCTTTTTGTAAAGCGTGTGATGAGAAGAGATGGAAAAACATCGATAGTCGGTATTTAATTTAAGTTTTATTTTGTTTGTAGCCACAACATAAACAAAAACTAAAAGTTGTTGCTCAAATAATATTCTGGTTGGAAAACTACGCCTGGGAGGATATATAGATTAGAGTTATAACATGACCAAATCTGAGCGGTATGGCCAACTGCTGAAAAAAGCGTCTATCGACAATCGATATTATTCTGAGTGCTTAGGCCAGCTCTAGGAAGAAGCTCCTCGTTTTTAAGTTTGAAGTTAAGTGTGAAAATGAGTGCGGAAGACGAA